ATAATATTATTACAATCTATTATTACAATTACAATCTATTTTAATCTATGTAAACATGATCTAAAATTTAAAAGTGAAACAGAAAAAATAAAGAAATTCTACTTTACATAGATGCCGTGTGCGTTATGTCGATTCAGACGAAGAAATTGCGACACGTGATTGTGGAGACCATCAGTTTCTCAAAATAATAATGAGGTTAAAATACAGGGTATAAGGCCAGAACGGTTTGAAGAAAACAATTGATCCAATATGTTGAGATATGAAGCATTTGTCCAACGGGAATGTACGCTTATCAGTAAATTTACATAAGTTTCAGTTCTAAAAGAAAAGTAAAACAAATCTCTGCGTAAGTGTTCAGTGTTATAGGCTGACTTAGCTGTTGTGCGATATTCAGGCGCTTTAACAGACAACTAGAGTACGCTCTTAGGGAAAATTTGCACCGTCGAACCGAAACCGTTAACATCCAAACATTTAAGCGTCGGGTATCTCGGCTATGAAACGCCTGTGTAAATGTAGAAAACGAAAATTAAATTCTTATCTACCGTGATCTTTGAATAGTTCGTTGAACCCTCTTAAAACAAGATCAAATTAAAAACTGATGCAAATCATAGCCACTGGAAAACCACGTAATAAAGCACCTCGAATTTTTTATGATATCAGCGAGGGACAATCCATAAAATCAATAGGTCTGATTTTAGGTTTTTTATCATCGGTTTCTCAAATTAAACGATACTCAATAATCTTGTCTAGTGTGGATAATTATAAATTATGGGGTACAAAGTCTCAAAAGTTTGAAAAAGTCGCCATAGAACGAATTAATTTCACTGTGGTGGCGATTCCTTCACAGCGTGACATAATTACATAGAGCACACACAAAGACTGAAAAAGCAGTTACTGGGCTTTCCGGGTTTACCTTTCTGGGTTTACCGGACATTCGCTCCGACGAAGGGCTAACGCTCGAAACGTCAGCTTTTGTAATCATTACGGTGGCCAATTTACCATTTCAACTTTGTTGATATATCCAAATTATTTCGTTACTCCCACCGACGCAGCCCCAAACAGTTTCTTTCGAAACTATCAGCCTTTTTCCTACGAAAGCCTTACTTCTTCACACTTACTAACTAACTACAGCTGATGAAAACCGAGTGATTAGTTTCAATCGAACTTACCAAGATGTTGACTTTGTGGCTAATGCTTTCAAAATGAACAACCAAAAATAATGATTTACAGCCGGGACTTTTCCCAACCTTCCGAAACTTACGCTGTCACAGCATGAGAAGACACACGGGGCTTGCACTGCAAGTATGCCGGAGAGTTCCATACAATTTCTTATAATCTTATTATAAGGAATTATATGGAACTCGGGGCGGGGGTTGTCATGTATGATCCTTAAGAGGTGTTTTTCCCGACCCTCTTCTGACAGAAGAATGTCACATAATGAAAGCAAACCAAAAACGATTGGGGAGCAACTCCGGCTTGTACATGTCACCAAGTTCATTAAAACGAGCACTGAATTTCTGCACATCAACAGGCCTTTGTTTTATATTATTACAAAGATCTCGAGCTCACTTTTGTTTCGAAAATAGATCAGTTAGCTATGACGGAATTTGTGAAGGATTTTGAAGATGAAGAAACTGAACGAAAAGAGCGAGTTATCAAAACAAGAAAAACACTCCAGAGGAAAGAAACAGACAGAGAAAAGAATGTAGAGAAAGGAAACAAGGAAAGCAAATGCCGAATTCATCGAATAAAAATGTTGAACTAAAGTCATTCAACCGCGAAGCAAATGACTAGGTGCCATGTACTTCTGAGGCGGGTGTTACGAAAACTAAGACCCTCGAAAAAGAAGACGTAATACCTAAGACCCGTCTTAGTTTTCGAGATTACGAAACTAAGATCTCCTAAAATCGAATCCGTCCGGAAATATAAAGTCAAATTGTAACCAAAACAGGTCTAATCTGTCAAATTATCTCCTGTCCGATCCTTTCCACCGAGTTTTAGGTCAAATTTAAAGGTAAATTTAGGGGTCTAAGTTTCCGTGATCTCGAAAACTAAGACCCCTCTTAGTTTTCGTAATTACGAAAACTAAGAGCCCCCC